GATCCGGCAAAGGCAAGTCACAACAGCATGCCCAGAGCAAGGGAAAGAGCAAAGGTGCTCCTCCCAAGGTTGCGGACCTGCCACAGCCTTCACTGACACCGAATATACCGTTGCCCAAAACGGCTGGCGCTCCCAATGTGGAGGCTTCAGAGGAAGGCGAAGTGCTGGGCGCGCTATTAGCGCATCTGGGAGATTCCACTGCACTGCCGATGGCCCTGGCGGAAAGAGTACAGGTTTTCCAGAGCTCCAACGCACGCTCTACTGGAAAGCTCCTGCACAAGCAGGTTGCGCGCCAAACAGAAGCGCGCACGCAGCTACAACGCCTGGCCAAAGACAAGCAGGCCTTTCTAGAGGGCTGGGCTGAGTATCTTCAGGTACTCTCGGAGACAGTAGAACAACAGGTGTCGAAGATGTCCAAGGTGTTGGAGGAATTCGATGCTGCGAAAGGTCAGTGGCAATCGCAACTGACCGATGCGTCCGAACTACTGTCCAAGGCTACTGGTCATCCAACGGCACCAAGGAGCACGGATGCCATGGATGCGGAGGAAGCTGCGGTGGCTCTGACTGCAGCCGAAGACTCTCGGTCTCGGCTTCAAGCCGAAAAGATCCAGCAAGGCCAGAAGGAGCTCATCGAGGCCTTGAACAAGGCGAAAGCCGCCGCAGAAGTTCACCGCGACGGCTCGAGAACGCCGCGCCGCAAGCCCAAGGAGGACGAAATCGTCGATTTGGAGCGGCGCCCTCAATAGCTCCGTCACTATGCGCGGACCGCGATTTTGACGGAGCAGACACCGCTCGGGTGATGGGATTCCTCCTCGAGCACTCCGTTGTCAAGGAACCAGATTATGTCTCTGAGTGGACGGCCAACTTACTCGGAGCCTCCTGGCGACTGGACCTGTGGTGGGATGAGTTTGGTGTTGTCACCTCGCTCAAGGACCCCAGACTGACTTCTCTCGATGAGGATGGTGTCTCGGACAGGGCCCGACAGGGACCCCCGATCAGGCCTTCTTTCCTGGCTCGGAGACCAACCATGGGACGGTTGGTGTCGGAGGCAGCCGAGGGGCAGGATCCTGGGTTGCTGCGCGAGGCGATTTTCCAGATCAGAGCTGTACAGATTTTGTCTTGGCAGCAGCTTTTTCTGGTTTCTCAAGAGAGGTTTAGACCTATTCCCCTGCCAGGCTAAGGCATCTGAGCAGGTTTTGCAGGGCCCTGACGGCCAGATGCAACATGACGGGCCCCCTTATAACTCGGGTGATCTTGTTGGTAGGCAAGCTACCCGTGCACCGGGCCACGACAGCTCGTCCGCTAGGTTCATTCCTTGCAGTTTTGGAGCTATGAGTAATCGACCTTGTGCCCATAGGGTTTTAGGTCCCACCCCCGTGCCAAACCCAATGCGACAGGCAAGCAGGTGTTTGCACGCTGGCGGGCTCCCTCCTCAGAGAGCATTTCCCACAGTTGTGGGTTGTCCTCCCTCTCTCCCGCCTTCTTACTGCAGCCTCACACATGCTTTAAGTCACCTGCCTAGCGCCTGTAAGGCTGAAGGCGATCCTCTGTTTCCACTTGCTGAGGAGCAGACTGACCCTAACCCGTGTGGCCACTGTGGCCCTCCTGACCTAAGCCCCCTTGCACTGTGCAATCTGCCTCAGCCCACCTCCGTTCTTTCTGCTGAGAGGACTTCCTCAGGTTGCCTCCTGGTTGAAGCACCATCGCAGCCGTGGGGCTGGCGCTCGACTTGGTGGGATCCTCTCTGCGTCCACTGCGGCGTCCAAGAAGCTCGCGAGATTAGCAGGAAGGCTAGTTGCTTTCGTTGAGCCTGATTGCCATGTTGTGTGCCGGGATGTTCATGTTACCCTGCTTGAAGCGCGCAGGCGCCTTAGACGGCCGGGCCTCTCTGCCCCAACCCGTGTGTGCCCCTACCAGCCTCCTGTGACAGCTGGTGGTCCCCGCCATTGCCCTAACCAGTGGGTCCAGGGTTACGTCATGGGTAGGCCTGTTAGTTCTTCTTCTACAGACTATAGGCCGCAGCAGGGTGTTTTCAGTGCCGGAGATCTCGACACTACTGCTGCCAACCTTCTTAGGCAGTACAGGCGTGTGTTACCTGCACCGGCTCCTGGGCCGCCAGAGGAGTGTGGCCTCAAGCGACGCTATTCCGCCTTTGACATCGTCAGGCAAGACTCTGAACATGCCATTGCCGGGCTGTCTCCGTGCCTGCTTGCGTCGCACATGCGTTGCAGAATGCCCCATTTGCGGACGCCACTTGGGCCACTTGGGCCTTCCCGGATGTGGAGATAATTGGTCTGGCGCACCCTCAGATCATTTTGGTTAGGCCTCAAGCGGTCGGACCCACTGTTGTTGCTGATCTGCGGGCTTTGGGCGGTCCACTGCGGGTTATTGAGGTCCAGGCGCAATGCTCACCTGAAGCTGGACGGGTTGTTGCAAGGGTCAAGTGTGCCACATGGCCTGCTTCCGAGGCCCGTCGGCTGCCACTTGGGACAGTCATAGATTTCAGCGCAGGAACCGGCGCAGCTCTTGAGCTGCCTATTGGGGTGGGAATTTCCCATCGCGCCCAGACCATGTCCTTTCCACTGCAGCGCTTCGATAGTCTGTCACAGGCCCTTGCTGCTATTTGGGATGGCATTCTTGCAAGTGCACCCGCAAGGAGGCCCGACTCCTTTCTTTTTGGTGCAGTCCAGCCAGCGGTTAGGGGTGACACCGTTAGGCTCACTCTCACCCTGCTTTGCACGCCCTGTCGCGAAGAAAGGGTGGTGTGGTTAGACCTAACCAGCACCGGAGGCTCCCTACGTGTGGTTTTGATGCCATCGGTTGCCACTCTTGCCGATGTAGGTCTCACAGGCCAACACGTGTACCTTAACGGTGTTCAGTGGATCGGTACGCAGTATCTCACGCATGGAGCCATTGTCCAGGTCACCAATGTTGCTGAGCCACCAGCACACCTGCACTTGTGTGCCCTTTGGCACGCCACACCTGACCTGGCTGCGCTCTCCTCTCCCACGGACTTCCCGCATGCTAATCACCTGATGGCCTCCTTCGAGGGTCCTACGGCTTTTGAGCCATTTTTCGTCCACCAGCAGCTCGAGATGCATGAGGCCAGAGGGCTTAACAGCCGCACGCCGCTCTGCCTCCTTCTTGCTCCGGGCTTGCTGATGTGTTCTCTCTAGGGCATAGCATACCTTCCTTGAGGGCTGTTGCTGACTTCGCACAAACCACTCTCATCGATCTCTATGGGCCCGGCACACTGGTGGATCTAGGCATTGCTAGCGGGGATTACACTGTCTATGCCTTTCGGCCGGCCGATCTGCCAGGGGGCCTCTCTTTCCTTGTGCACCGCACTGGCGGCCTACGTGTGGGAGTCACTGTTGATCGCACTATGGATACCTTCGGCCCCGAGTACCTTACCTCTCAGTCTCCTGGACTTGCTGAGGCTGTTGGCAATATTGGGCTGGTTGCGGTCGATGGTGTTTCAGCTGAGGATCGCCCCAGCATTGAATTGCCCACTGACTCTTTCACCGCTACCTTTCTTGTGACCAATGCGCAGCCGGAAGGTGAACCCGAAGCCGAGGCCTCCTCATCTAGTGGAAGTCGCCCTCGTGATGGCACCAGCCTCGTGGCCATACTGTCTCCTAGGCGCACCCCCAGGGGCGTCTCTCCTTCTGCTGCCCCACTTGTACATCCAGATCCGGGTGCGATTGTCTGCACCGGTGCTGAGCCTCGGCCTTCTCGTGTCGGAATGCCTAAGTCTTTTGCGCCTAGGCCGCCTGTTCCGCCCATCCCTGAAGCCTCTCTTGAGGAAACACCTGACGGGACGGCAGCCAGTCTGTCTGCTGGAGAGAAGCATCGGGTGCAGGTGGCACTTGATTCAGATGATGTTGGCCATCGCTGTTTCACTGTGTTTGATGTGCTGCGCCACGTCTCCCAAGATGAGGTTTTTGGGGACCATTCCGATGTTGTCTGTCTCCAGCAAGCTTTGGCCAAGGCACCCTTCCCATATCCCGGATGGGCCAGGACGGCAGTTGAGGTGCTGCCTCTTCCTGTTCCGCAGTTTGTCCTTCTGAGGCCTGGTACGCTTTGCACCATCGTTGTCGATGCAAGGCCTGCAGGATCGGGACTTTTCGCAATCGAGGCTCCTTTCACTGCTTCGCCCGAGGAGCTGCTGGATAGGGTGGCTCTGTATGTTGGTAATATTTTTGAGGCAGCGCAAAGACAGGAAGGCATGCAGTGCTTCTTTAATGATGTGCAGTGGGCTCTTCCTCTCAAGAGGCAGCTCGCCAACGGAGACGTCTTCAGTTGTCGTCCAGTGCTTGAGGGCTCTGGTCTTCCCTTATTGGGCCCGGGCGGCACCCGTCATACACTGCAGCGCAGGCGCGAGGCTCCCTACTTTGAGGTGCTCCGAGCGGTTGAATTGGGTTCCCAAACTCTTACGCTCTCCTTCGGTGATCGTATGCTGGAGGACGTGCTTGCAGAACTTGTTTACCGTAGGCATCAGCTCGGTCCCGTGCCAGAAGAGCTTTGCATGCAGCTATGTCCCGTCCAACCGGCCCCGGCGCAGGGTCGTCGGGAGCTCATTGTCCTGCTTTTCTGCCGAAATGCAGATGGCACCTTTCCCATAGTCTGTGATGGGCGTGACGTGGGGGGGCATATTTGGGTTGCAGCGCTTGATGCTGATGTGCCTTTCGGGGCGCTTGCCGAATCTGGCTGTGTCCCCTTCCTTGCGTGATGGGCTTCCTTGCCCTGCCTCTCCACAGCTTTACGCTGGGGCCATGATCACCCTTCGCCCAGCGCATAATAGCGGCCGGCCCAATATGATGCCGGTCTCTGCCTGGTGGCACGTGCACCCCTTCTCAGCCTAATCGCTTCTCCCGTTCCTTTCCCGGAGGTCGCACCCGAGTCCTTTGGTTTTCAAAACGCTGCGATCAGGGAGGCTTTTAACGCCCTATTGGATGTCAGGGTTGCCCGGGGCTTTGCACTTTTTGAGGGTCGGGTAGGCGCTTCGGCGCTCGCTGCGGCCGGCCCTTGTGTCGCTCTTGCCACCTCCTGATCAGCAGCAAGGCGGTACCCCTGGGTCTTTGTTGGCTGGCGCACACCGCCTTGTCCGGGCCCATCAGCAGCTTGCTCTTGGCCTTAAGGCACCTACTGCTGCCTTGTTCCTTGATGTCTCATCTGCGTACTACCGCGTTTTGCGACAGTCCTTCGGGCAAGGGGACCTTGAGCATGACGAAGACATTGCTAAGCTGCTGGCGCTTCTCAAGGTGCCGCCTTCAACCCTGCATGAGGTTTGTGATTGGCTTTCTACCACGGACCTTCTGACAGAGGCCTCTCCGCACTGCACGGCTTTGATACGAGTCTTCTTGTGTGGCACTTTCTTTCACATTCAAGGGGCGCCGGGGATTGTACGTACCCGTGCAGGGTCTAGGCCGGGGGATTCCATTGCTGACCTACTGTTTTCTCTAATCCAGGCAGATTTCCTGCAGGCTGTGCGTGCCCGTATAGGGGGCTTGGCCACTTCCGACCCAGTTCTCGCCAGCCTTGAGTTGCCCATCAATAGTGTCATTCCCGTTTGGGCTGACGATGCTGTTGTACTCCTGGCTCAGCGCACTACGCCGCAGCTCTTGCAGGCGGCCAAGCATACCCTCGAAGCTGTCCATAGCGGGTATACTCGCAGAGCAATGGCGCCTAATTATGCCCCGGTAAATCTGAAGCCCTTTTTTCATTCAAAGGGCTGGGGGCTCCTGCGGCCAGGCAGGATTTATATATTAGGCAAGCGGGTATCCTCCCTTTCCAGGTTCAAGGGACCGCCCTTGGGGTGCACTGCGTTAGGGCATACACTCACCTTGGAGGACGCGTCTGTGATACGGGTCGCTTTATGCCGGATGTTGCCCAGCATGTATCCGCGGCCTGGGCGCAGGTCAGGCCCCTGGCTAGGCATGTCCTCCGGAACCCCGCGTTGCCTTTTGCAAAACGGCGGCTCATCCTCAATTCCCTCGCCTTCTCAGCTGCTTGCAGTACTGCTGCGACTTGGGGGCCGCTCAATGGTCAAGAAACCCGGGCTTGGCGGACCGGTTATGTCCGGCTCGTACGCCTGCTTGGGCGAGACGACAGGCACACGGGCCAGCCCTCCCTTCCTGCGGAAATTGACGTCTGTAAAGCTTATCGCTTCTCCTCCCCCCTAGCGTACCTGCGCGCTGAGAGGATACTCCACGCTGCCAGACTTCTCCTTACGCAGAGCACGCTTTGGGACCTCCTCCGGGCGGCCTACCGCCTCCTGCCCGAGTCTTGGCTACATGTCCTCCGGGAGGATCTAGAATGGCTGGTGAGCATATGCCCCCAGGCTGGGCCTTCTCTATGCGACTTCCCGGACGGCTTTGCTGAACAGGCCTTGCACGCCCCCAGCGCCCTTCGCACTGCCGTTCGCAAGGCCAAAGCCGATGTCCTGCATTCCGGACACGAGCCGCTCTGGCAGAACTACAGTCCTGCAGATGGCTTGCCCATTGATGGGAATTTCCAGTGCGAGCAGTGCCCGGCAGCCTTTGCCACTGCTCAGCAGCTATCGGCCCATCGTTTCGGCAAACATAGCATCCGCTGCCCTGCAGCTCGCTATGCTGGCCACACGACTGTTTGTAAATCCTGTCTGATGCAATTTTGGGAGTCTCCTAGACTTCTGCGCCACCTGCAACATGACTCGCCACAATGTCTTGTTGCCCAGGACGAGCATCAGATCCTAGAGGGTGACTTAGGTGCATGGGGTACCCCTAGTCCTCCTCCCGCCCCGGGTCTACCCGCAACTAGACTCTATACGGCCCACTGCTGCCCCTGTCCAGTTGCAGTGTTGCGGATTTTGCAGCGTCCCTCATGGCTGAGGCAAAGCCCGCCAATTTGGGAGGCTGGTTGTCGCCGGCGTGCAAGATTTGGCTGGATGCCAATCGCAGCTTGTGACATCCCTGTACAGTGTTTCTTTCCGCTTTGTTCGTAGTACCAGGCGTCTGACTCAGACACGGACCGATGACCAAGCAAGCAAGCAAACCCTAAACCCTACCAGTACCATGTATCTTGAACCCTTGGACGCAGCCCACCATTATGCAGGTCCTCAGGTCCCGCGGAGGTCCTTTAGAAAGTCTGACTTCAGCCGGTTTAGGGTTTAGGGTTTAGTCTGACTTCAGCCTCCAAACTGGATTGCGAGCCAGTACTGGTTCAGAACTCAGAAGTGAACCCCAAATCCTCGAAATCCTTAATCCGATTCCTTAACCCCAGATCCCCGAGTCCCTAAGCCCTCGAAACTCTCGAGCTTCGGTTTTGAAGTGCTAATCTCCGAAGCTGATGGCCCCAGAGCTTCGGGTGAAGCTGCTAGCCCTGGAGCGTCGGGGCAAAGCAAATGAGCTATAGTCTAAACTTATTGAAAGGGGGTTAGATAGGAGGTTATATAGGGGATTATATAGGGGAGTATTATAGGGGTTCTTCAGGGGGATGCTAGGAGTTTAGACTGAACACTAAATCCTCAAACCCTAAACCCTAAACCCTACATAGTAGTTTCCATTCTCTTTTCCATTATCCCTATATAAGTTTAGACTATAGCTCAAATAGCTCCAGAGCTTGGGGCGAAGCTATTGGCTTCAGAGTTCATAGCGTTGGGCGAAGCTGCAAGCTACCCTCCCGGAAATTAACATGGAAACCCAAAAGGGCCCTGTAAAGACTATAGCCCTTTTAAAGGCGGGCTATATGGGCTTCCATGTTAGTTTGGGGGAGTGTACTAGTTTCAGAGCTTCCCAAGCTTCGGATGTTTTACGAAGCGGACCAGGCGGTCGTTCCCTCTCGAATTGAGCTTCTCTCGAAGCGCTAAGCCTGATGTGCTTAATGTCGCAAAGAGTCCTACTTTGAACCAATGGGACCGGATCATTTGAATGCCATGTGCCTGCGTGCAAGCTTTTGTTTTTTTGTGCCTGGAATTGTGTGTCGGAGTTTTTGCTTGCTTAGAAGAGCCAGTTGAAACGGCAAGCATGACACATCACAGACAAGCCTTCCCTCAAGCGCACAATTCCACATCACAAGCACTGTCCATCGAGCATTTTCAAAGAACAGTGGAAGCGGTCACCAACTGCAGAATTCCACATCAAAAGCAGACGTCCTTTGAGCATCTTGAAACAGTGGAACCTGCCACCAGTCGCAGAATCCTCTTCATCAACAGCACTGTCCTTCTCAACATCTGAACATCTTCAAAGACGACTATGTGGTTGGTCGGTGGTTGGTCCGGATATGGTGGGGGGAAGCCTTTTTTCAAAATTGCGCAAGATAGGTTGTGAAAAATATGGCCCCCTTTCAGCTGAATGGGGCCCAACATCTTGACAACCTAGGTTTACGGTATGGTAGGGCTAGGTCTCCGTTATCATTTGGGCCCCAATGTTCAGGGTACCCACTACCCACACGAGGGACCAGAGTTTACGCGAAGAGTGTGTTCAGTTCAAGCACCAGCAGTGACAGGAAATTTTGAGAGGAATTCTGGAAAATCTCGAAAGTGCTGCATTCCACATCAGAATCACTGTTCTTCGAAACGATGGAAAACAACAGTGGAAACAAACCACAGCAAAAGCAATGTCCCACAAGAGTCTTAAGGAGAGCGGAAACAGCTCTCAATTGCCGAATCTCACGGCAAAAGCAGTGCCCTTTGGACATCTTCCAAGGACAGTGGAGACGCCTCCAGATTGCAGAATTTCATAGCAAAGGCACTGCTTTTTAACAAGTTTCAAAACAACAGTAGAAGCAACTTCAACAACAGCCCTAGAAAAAACCCTATATAACCTCATTATAGTAGTTTCCATTGCTTTCGCTTTCAAAAATCTTCGCACGACAGTTCGGCCAGCTCCCAGTTGCAGAGTTCCATAGCAGATGCACTGCCCACTACCAGGTTGCAAGCAATAGTGGAAACAGCGCCCAACCGCAGAATTCCACATGAAACGCACTGTCCTCAGAATATCTGCAGCCTATGGCATGCTCAGAAGTCGGGATATTTATTTGTTTGCGTGTTTGCGCTTTAGTTGCAATAAATTCCTAAGATTTCCGTTATGGCTTGAACGCGCTCTCGAGCTTCTGGCGCTTGCGCGCGAGAATAGCTGGTCGGCAATGATCGCCGCGAACTACACTGGTTGATCACTGGCGAGTCCGGATTTGCGCCATGCCTGCAGCGCGATTGGTGTGTTGAAGCCTCATGCCCTACATCCTAAATCCTCTACCAGGACTTCATCGTGCCTGCCACACGATCCAGCCCTAAACCTTAAGCCACAAACCTCAAACCCCAACTCCTGAAGCCTTAGCCTGAAACAGGCCCAAATCCCAAAGCCTAAGCCCGTAACCTCAAATCCTAAACCTACTCTTGATACGTGAAGTTTTCGTTCATTAAATTATCACCTTGTTGTTTTGTGACTTCATTCCCCGTCCTTTGGCGCCATTCATTCATTCTGCTCATTTCCTATGTGAAGAGCTAGGACGTGCTAGAGTAGTACTATGCTTCACAAGGTATATGGTACTTGGGGTCATGTTGGACTGTTAGTATCAACTGCATCCGCACTGTAACTCCCTAACCCCTAAGACCCAAACCCAAAACCTAAACCCAAACCTTAGACCCTAGACCCTAAAACCTAAACCCTAAACCCTAAACCCTACACCGCGAGTGTTTGTCCGAGGCCAAGGCCAGGGCTTCTCCGGCGGGGGAGGTGAGGGTTTGGTGCAGGTTTGGGGTTTAGGGTTTTGGGGTAATATTGGGGTTATATTGGGGTAATATTGCGGTTATATTGGGGTTATATTGGGGTTATAGGGTTTAGGGTTTGGAGTTAAGGTTCTAGGGTTTAGGAGTTTGGGGGTTAAGGGTTTAGGAGTTTGGGGGTTAAGGGTTTGGGGTTTCGTAGTATTTTTGGCTGCGGCGTTGATTAGGGGTTGATCTTATAATAGGTCTAGTAGTGTAGCACAAGCATCGATTGCTGACGAGGCTCTTTGGGTTCGGGATGGTTCAAGTTTCAAGTTGTGGAGGCGGAGGTTGGGGCTTAAGTTTTAGGGTTATCCTAACCACAGCAGCCAGACTGAAACAGGGCCTTGCATGCAGGATCACCAGTGGGGCATGTGAGCTTTTCCTTGCCGTGGCAGGGAAAGTCCAAAGTTGAAACTAGGCGATATCCTGGAGTTTTTTTAATTACCGTGATACGTGGTGACACCATTTCTGTATATACCTACCCCGCTCCTAGCGCCAAGTTGTGGGTGCTTTATCGGACTTCTGAGACGTCCGAAAATCAATCCTATTCCCCTCCCTTCAAGACCAATCGGTCTGAAATTACACGCCTCCTTGTCCTAATCCCTAACCCTGAACATATCTCAAACCCTGCATGACAGTGGTATACTTATGCGCCACAATTCCATAATTCCGAAGGCATAGGGTACTTAGGGTCATGCAGGATGTTTGGCATCAATTGTCGTATGTGATCTTGGTATTGCAATTGGAAGGCTTACCGATGACGAAGAAGGGCTTGGAAACGCCACTCTGTGGGGCCCTAAACCCTAAACCCTAAAGCTCCTTGTTGTCTTGAAACGATTTCTCCACAGTAAGGCCGTCAGCAGAACTCGCAGAGATCCATGGCTCCGGCTCAAAGTGCTGGTTCCTTTAAAGGGATTTAATTGGATCACCTATTGCCAGTATCTAGAGATATATAGCGCCCTAGGGCACAGGAATGGCATAGAATAGTGAGAATCATATGGAGCAGAAAATTGAACGCAGTGGAATCTGGATTTATCAAGAGCTTATAGCGGCGGTAGCCAGGGAAACGAGAGTTACAGCCAGGTAATTTGTTAGAGCGTCTTGCAGATATAATGGTGGATACTAAACATGCTGCATGACCCGAGGTACCCTAACATTCTGGATGTATGGTATTATAGTATACGTAGATCATGGGCAACAGTAGCGTTTCATAATGTGCGTAAACCCTAAACCCTGAACCCTAAACCTTGAACCCTAAACCCTGCTTAGCCGCCTCAACGCTCTTCCCGGCTGCATCTCCGCAGGCTTTACCGCCTCAGCACACATTGCGGGAGCCTGAGGGTTTAGGGTTTAGGTTTTGGGGTTTAGGGTTTGGGGTTTAGGGTTTAGGGCTTAAACATGGTTTGGGGCCAGGGCTTAGGGTGTTTACAAAAGGCCCTCTTTAGGCATGAAGTGGGGGCAAGGTCCTTAGAAGTTAGTGAAGATAGGTGTGTCACAATGCTTGGGTTTAATGCAGGAGCTTGAATAACTTACAACTACCAACATTGTTCCTTGATGACACTTTTATTACTGTACTAGACATATTAGTTTCCAAAATAAGGGACGCCAACATAGACCCCGAAATATTACAATCCTTTTACAGGGACCCCCCCGCCCAATTACCATGTAACCTCTATATAACCATCATATCCCTTTCAAATGGGCTCTTAATTTGGGGATGTTATCTACCCCAGAACCCCAGACTGGCGAAGTTGGCCCCGCATGAGCTTTTGGGGTCCGGGTTCTTCTCAGGGGTTCAAATTAGGGGTTTAGGGCAG